AGCACTATAAAGAAAGTACTTCAGTGACTGTTAAACCTCCTATTACAGAAGAACTGTAAAAAAGTACTTCAGTGACTGTTAAACCTCCTATTACAGAAGAACTATAAAAAAGGTACTTCAGTAACTGTTAAATCTCCTGTTAACAGAAGCACTATAAAGAAAGTACTTCAGTGACTGTTAAACCTCCTATTACAGAAGAAATATAAAGAAGGTACTTCAGTAACTGTTAAATCTCCTGTTAACAGAAGCACTATAAAGAAAGTACTTCAGTGACTGTTAAACCTCCTATTACAGAAGAACTGTAAAGAAGGACTTCCGTGACTATTAAATGTCCTGTCAACAGAAACACTATAAAGAACGTACTTCAGTGACTGTTAAATCTCCTGTTGACAGTAACACTATAAGACGGCACTTCAGTGACAGTTAAACCTCCTGCTACAGAAGAACTATAAAGAAGGACTTCAGTAACTGTTAAATCTTCTGTTGACAGTAGCACTATGAAGAAGATACTTCAGTGACTATTAAATCTTCTGATTACAGTAGCACTCTATAAAGAAGGTACTTCAGTGACTGTTAATTCTTCTGTTCTTACACAACATGTCGCAAACTTTACTAGCGTATTAGATCTTTTATTGAGTTTTTGATAACAGTTATGATGATAATGAGAACAATCATTGTGATGTTGATGAAATTGAGCAGCACTCAAAAATGATAAAATTTCTGTTTGTAGAGGATGTGAAATTGCCGTCAACTAGTAGTATCAAAATGTAGTTGTTATTATCAAAATTGACGGCTGATGTAATCCCGGCTTTTAACTCAAAACTTTTAAATCAAACGTTATTGTTACAGCTGTTAAAATGAAACGATCAGAAACGTATTTCTAGATAAGCAAGAAAAAGTGTAATTAACGTTAGAAAAATATGAAAGACTAATTTTCGCTATTTAGATGTGAAGTAAAAATTGAGGTACAATAATTCGAAAGACACTTTTAATTTGAAAGTTTTTCTTGAAACTACATCAATTTTTGTGTTTTTCTTTTATAAGTATTTTAAGTGTTGACACATTCCATTTTAGTTTAACTCAAATTTGGTAAGCTAATGCTAGTCGGTAAAAAATTCTGGAGATAGGTTTTTTTCGGTTTCCTTTTTGGAGTAAAGTCATTGACCAAAAAAAAAAGACGACAATTTAGCCTATTTTTGGCTTCAGTAGACTACAGGCTACTCCAAATCGATGAACCGAAATTGCTGACGACTGCCTATAGATTGTCGGAAAAATTGCTATTCTAGCTCAAAATGGAATCTTTATCTTGCAAGAGTAAAAGTCCTAGATGTTCAAAATGCTTAATTTGCTCTCGTTGTGGTTGTGAATGTGATGGATTATCAATTCATGCTAAATTGAATCGGATACTTTGGGGAAATCAGCCAACAAGTGTATTGACCAGTGCAACACACGGTAGAATAAATGACCACGGCCATATTAGAATGTTGTGAATAACAATTATGAAGCTGAACAGAATGAAAATGAAGATATGGATATGATTGATAATGGCGTTTTGTCTATAATTGAAGATAGTGATGATGGAGGTGACGATGGCAAAGAAAGCGAAGACTTCATGAAAGAATGTAAAAATATAATATGATATCAGAGAAGTTTCGGAATAGTTGATTATTTAACGAGAAATTTACTGAGTCGAAAATCATGTGAAAGTGAATTCTTTATTTCTATTGATAAACAAGTAGTTTAATTACCGTCAGCATTTCAGTACTAAAGAAAATATGTGCTATTATCTTTCCCAATGATGCATACCAACTGTTGCTTAACATTGGAAACAAACTGTAAAAGATAAAGGAGAAACTAAATAAATTATATCCAGTAACATGTTAAATATATATATATATATAAATACAAAAAAAACATTCGCTGCATTCTATCCGTTGAAAGGTTTTATCAGCTCCATTGGATGCTTCTCTACAAAATGATGTTTTCTGTTTGTGTAAAACCATTATCAAAACCTAATAGACTACCTGATGTTTTAGCTTCAAACAGTGTCTGGATTAGACTGTTTACATTTGCAGTGCTAGTTATATTCATTGTTACACCAATCTTTATGCAAATATATCTTCATCTATACCTAATATTTTGTTCTAAAAATATACGCGAAATCCTTAATATTAGAACTTTCTTTTAGTATCATTTCTGCTATCCAATTCCAAGATCGATTTTTAATGATGCTACTTGTGGTACAAAATTTGCCTCTAGGACAAGTGTTAATATTTCGATATTGGTAAAGCTGTAGAATATAATATGAAACTTAATTTAAGCTTTTCACTGCATTTTGAAGAAATGACACTCTGTATATTGCTTTTAAATTGGTGTTATAAAGCTAGAATTATTATTTTACAACGAAAACTCCCCCTCCCCAGTTGAACAACAGTACGTTCACGGACTATTTTTTTAGAAGAGGTTTGATTCCACACTGTGGACACAACAGATAGCCCAATGTGGCTTTGCTCTAAAGCAAGCAAACACAGAATCACTACGAAAAATATATCATTGTAATTTATATTATATCAGTTTACTTCTTAATAACCACGTAGTTTCACTAACAAAATAAACTAAGTTTTTATGCCTCTCAATGTCACAGCAGTATGTCTGCGGAATTACATCGCTAGAAACCGGGTTTCGATACCCGTGATGGGCAGAGCACAGATAGCCGTTTGTGTCGCTTTGTGCTTAACTACTAACAAACTACTCCAACTAAGCGTGTATAATAAATCTCTTTGATCTAAGTATATCTGATTGTTATTATATTAAAACGAATGTTTAAACAAAAATAACTGAACAAATTAGGAATGAAAAAGGATTACCGTCTTGTCTCCTAAGTTATGAACGATACAGTGAAGAAACGCAGTTTGTCCACGCTGAACTGATACACTTCTAGCTGTGCTGTTATCAAATACAGGAAGCATATACTGCTCGACGTCCCAGTGTTCTCCAATATTCTCTTCCTCGGGTAAAAGTGTTTTCTTAATCACTGAAGCATCGGTTGACAGAACGTTCTGGTGAGATCCCTTCGTTCCTAGAACAAGTCACGAAAGAATGGTAGTCATTGATTAGAAAGTAATGCAAACATGATGTTATAAGTCATTATATAAATTTTGCGAATATATTTGCGTATATATCTCTCAAGAGGATTCTTTCTCTTTCACCATGATTGATCTAGGAAATTAAAGAATATTGCGTCGTGAACTGCCAAGCGGTCGTTGTGGTGTCTCGACAAAAGTAAGCTGGAATCGTATAAATAACACTGGAAATTGAAAATTAATATTTGATATTGCAAAATGTTTGGAAATATACGGTTAGAATATTTTATTTACAAAATCTATATGAATAGATTTTTGTCAGCATGAAATAGTTCAAACGTATATTCGGTTTCTGAGTGACAACATACAAACTCCAAATTTCTATAAAAATGAGAGATATATACTTAATTTTCTTATTAGGAGTTTCCAAACTGGAGGCCCCAGAAAAGTGTCAAGAGTGCTATATAAAATACAAAATTCTATTAATGTACGCAGAATCTATTGGGTGGAGAGATCAGTCAGTAGGCGGCATGTTCTATGTCATTATTCCTCTTGATCGAAAAAAAACACTAAATGTTTCACATTTCCATTTTGGTTAGTATTAAAATAATGAAAAGAAACTTTCACTTACTTTTGTTGAATAACTTAAACTTCTGAGGACAAGTTGCGTTAATTTAATTATAAGGGGCCATTGGTATTTGGAGACTATTGAGTTTTTGTTTATTAATTAAAACAGATTCTTAATCTTTTTTTAGAGAAAATTTCCAAAATACACCTGAACGCTATCGTTTTCTAAGATATACTTAAACTTTGTCATGTTATCCAAGATATACCTTACTTGTAGTATATTACCACCACATGTTTTTACAATAAAGTAACAAACACCTAATAGGTACAGTTCCTAAGATATATACATATTCGTTAGTAATGTTTGTGTTATTTCAACGCAAAACCGCACATTAGGCTACCTGCGCTACGACCACCTCCCAAATCAAGCCCAACACTTTAGATTGTTAAACACTCAAGCTTACAGCTTAGATACTGGTGGAATAATTTGTAAATACAGGGTGTCCCAAAATAAAGAGGCCTCATGTGATTCATTGCATATTGAAATAGATAATGAAAAGTTTAAATGAGATGACTGTTACATTAACGGATTATTATTAGTGAAGCCCATATTGCTAATGAGAACTTACTAACTTACTAATCATTTCTTTTTGGCATTTGTTTGCTTGTAATTAAGAACAAAGCTACGCAAAGGGCCATCTGTCTTTTGCCCACCATGGGTATCAAAAGCCGGTTTCTGTTATAAGCGCCCCCCCCCCCCGTGGCACAGCGGTATGTCTGCGCACTTACAACGCTAGAAACTGAGTTTCGATACCCGTGGTGGGCAGAGCACAGTTAACCCTTATGTAGCTTTGTGCATAATTAAAAACAAAACAAAACAAACTGTTGTAAGTCCGCAGACATACCGCTGTGCCACTAGGGTTAGCATCTCTTTCAAAAATACTCAAAAGTGGTTTAATGAAAAGTGATTGTAATGGTTAATAAAACTCATGGTTTAATGAAAAGTGATTGTAATGGTTAATAAAACTCATGGTTTAATGAAAAGTGATTGTAATGGTTAATAAAACTCATGGTTTAATGAAAAGTAATTGTAATGGTTAATAAAACTCATGGTTTAATGAAAAGTGATTGTCATGGTTAATAAAACTCATAGTTTAATGAAAAGTGATTGTAATGATTAATAAAACTCATG